CTGGATTAGCATTGTAGGAAATAAAAGTACTGAGGGATTTGGTGCAAGAAATGGGCCATTGCCCGTGAGCGTCTGTACCCTTTAGTAATGTCTGGTGTTACTGTAAGATCTTACCAAGAAAACTGCACTTGAGGGGAGGGTTTAGCTCAGTGGTAGAGCATGTGCTTAGCATGCACAAGGGCCTGGGTTCGATCCCTAGGACCTCTGTTACAAATAAATACATAATTTTTTAAAAAAATCTAATTTCTGTCGTCCCAACACTGCCCCCCCTAAAAAAACCCAAATAAATAAAACTGCACTTATCTGGGAATAATTTTGCATTTGGTGATTTGGAGAGGAAGTGACCACCTTGTAGGTGTTGTGAAGAAATACAACAGAGCTAACATCTTACTCACGTCACAGTTGCCATGAGCACTTAAAATAAATCCTGTTAATCCAAGGTAGAATTTTCTAGAATCCTTTAGTCATTGTTTTAGGGGAAAAAAAAATCCTATTAATCCAGGGTAGAATTTTCTAGAATCCTTTAGTCATTGTTTTAGAAAAAATAAATCCTATTAATCCAGGGTAGAATTTTATAGAATCCTTTAGTCATTGTTTTAGAAAAAATAAATCCTATTAATTCAGGGTAGAATTTTCTAGGATCCTTTAGTCATTGTTTTAGAAAATTATTGTGTAGGTGGTTTTCTCATTGTCATTGTTTTTTTGATGCCATGAGGGACCCATCTGTTTCACTGGAAAAGTAATTGACTAAACTTGGGAGCACGTGTCTTTCTTTTCCATCGAAGCTGGCTGTCTTCCAGGTGCCTCCTTAGTCTCCTGGAAGCACTTCTTAGCTGTCAGTGTCCACAAGGTACAGGTTTAATGAGTAGTTCTTGAACAAACATGCTTGGGGTGATTCTCTAATAATAACAAATACTTCTTTAAACTTTAATTGAGAAGAGTGTAAGTAAAAAGTTGGAACACACAGAGCTTATCTTTAGAACATTTTATTTTAGAAAAATAGTATGTATGAGCATATTTGGTTTGGGTGGGACATTTAAAATGAATTTGATGATGTCATTTGCCCGATTTTAGAAATTCCATGATTTAAAGAACTCTAAAGAATAGTGATATTTGCAATACCGTTTTAGTAATGTGTTTTCGATTTGGTTGTGTTAGGAATGAAGGAAAGTGGAAAACATGGAATATTACACTTTCCTGAGATTTAGCTATATTTAGAGGCTTGGCTTTGATTTGATTAAAAGCTTTTTGGCAGAGAATATTGTAAATATGTTTAGAAAGGGTGTTTTTTTTTAAGGCTTAAGAAATTACAAAGTTTTGAGGTAACAGAAATGAATTAGTAGTGATGGTTCAAATCTTTATGAATATACTGAAAAAACACTGAATGCTACACTGTAAAATGGTGAATTTTATGGGTTACATCTCAATATTAAAAATATAAAATTGAAAATGTTCATATATAATTTTTCAGTGGGAGCTGCGATTTGACTCAATCAATGGAATAGAACTTTTCTCAGTTTTTCTACATGACTATAACTGGTTTCATTTATCTTAAATTCTGAATTTGTTTAAGCAGGTTTTTTCTTTTTTTTGTATTCTCTATGAAAGATACTCACTGCATTCTAGTTGAAAGCTTTAAAAATATTGAAAATGAGACTAATATTCATAGTACCACCAATTTGGCTTCTGTGAGTCCACAGTGTGAGTCATCAATCAACTTAAATGTCTCACTATACTGGGTCTTTATCATCTATCTACTGTATGTCTTCTGAGCTCAGAATTAAATTATACCAAAAAAAATTGCAGTCATCATATTGCATTCCAAGGAGCAACTTGAGAACCCATCTTAACAGAGGTGGCAATGGAGGCTCAGGGAAGTTAAAGTTACTCGCCCAAGGTCACAGAGCTGATTGTTTGCCGCACAGTGAAACCTTTCTTGATAACATTTAAAAATACTTGTAAGTCTCAGCACATGGAATGGACTCCCAACAGCGCCATCTCTGAGGTTTCTCAGTAGGCAGGGTGCAGCCGCGGGTTTAGGTGTTCCTTCCGTGCAGTGGAAAGCTCGGGGGTGTCAGGATTATTCTGTGTGCTGGACAGAGATGAGTGTATGATGAGGGCCTGGGGCTGATGACCTGGAAAAAGACCTCGGAGACTGTGCTGTCTTAAAAATGGTCTAACTTTGGGGGGATATCTCTGTTTAGGAAATCTGTGCTGCCTTTCACGTGAAGGAAGAAACATACAAGAACCTGATGCAGAAAGGCCAGCAGATGCTTGCAAGATGCCCCAAATCTGCCGAGACAAATATTGACCAGGACATCAATAACCTGAGAGAAAAATGGGAATCGGTAGAAGCCAAACTCAACGAAAGGAAAGTACGTGCCTGGATGAATATCGTAGAGGGAACGTGTTTGTTGTTTCATTGCGTGGGCTCTGCCTTTTCTCTGAGTAGACTTGTCCGTGGAGCGCTGAATGATTCGTGTTTATATTGTCTTTGTGTACGTTTGGACGTCTCATGGGGTCAGCTGAAGAAGAGTATTCTCTCTTACCCCAGGAGAGCAGAGTTGAAGGCATCCATCCAAACATAGATGAAGGTGTAGCATAGATCAAGTGTTACCAGGTGTGTTTTAAAATCCGTGAACCACTCGAATACTTGGTGGTTAAATAATTCTAATCAAGCTTACTAGGCAAAAGGCAGATGGTCTGTAACAGCGAGGGAGAAAGGGAAACTGAGAGAGTGAAATGATTGTATATTTAATAAGCACTTACATTTATAAAAATCCGTGAGAGGGGGTTAAAAATATTACTGTTTAATGCTGTAAGAAAAACGAGAAGCTGGAAATACCAGATTGTAGGCCCTCACTGACACTGAGCTTACGGTGTATAGTGTTCATAGTGTTTTGACCCACAGAATGAATCATACACAATCCAAGTTTTCTTTTTATAGATTCTGTTTAGCAATTCTGTTCTGTGGTTTAATTGTTCCCAAACCACGACTTGAGTGCCTATCAATTTTTTTTTTTTGCTGCAGTGAGATGCTTCTCACTCCACTTCTAGGGACTTGATTTGCCAGTATTTGCACAACTGTTTGGGAGATGGACTGCACGAATAAAGCAGGGACAGGAAGAAAACCTGCCAGAGAGCGCTTAAAATGGAAAAAGGAAAAGAAAAACAAAACTTAAATACCATGAAATACTTAATAGTCTGTCTTTGCAGATTAAACTGGAAGAGGCCCTGACCTTGGCCATGGAGTTCCACAATTCTCTCCAGGACTTTATCAACTGGCTCACCCAGGCGGAGCAGACCCTCAATGTGGCTTCTCGGCCAAGTCTTATCTTGGACACAGTCTTGTTTCAGATCGACGAACACAAGGTAGGCTCCGTCTCAGGTGGGTCGCGCTCCCATCTCACACCCTTTAAGGCAAAAGCCTGAACGTGGTGGTTTGAACACTTTTCTTTCGTCCTTTGAAGCAGTTTCAGCTTCTGATACCAGAAGCGTTTTCAAGATAGATGCGTTTTTTGTTGGTTTCTGATCACAACCCTTCCCCACCCTCCTTTTTTTTTCTGTTTGGAAAAGGTCTTTGCCAATGAAGTAAACTCTCACCGTGAGCAGATAATAGAGCTGGACAAAACTGGAACCCACCTGAAATACTTCAGTCAGAAACAAGATGTCGTCCTCATTAAGAACCTACTCATCAGCGTCCAGAGTCGATGGGAGAAAGTGGTCCAGCGCTTAGTGGAGAGAGGAAGGTCTCTGGACGAGGCACGGAAGAGGGC